ATCAAGAAATTGCTGGTTGAGTTGGTTGCGCACACCTGAGTTACTACTATAGCTTTTTACAATAAAAGCTGATACGTTGGCGCAAGGGGCATACAGCCGAGCAGACTCTAAACTACACTCTTAATTCGATTTCTATCTTACCTATTAAGCGCATATACCTTGATTGATTCGCTGTATTGAACAAGGTTTACAATTCTCTGTGCCAACCAGTTCGTGTCCTAAGTTATACTGGCGTAAGACACATACATAATTAATGAAAAATAACCATCAATACGATTTATCGAATTTTAGTCATTTGATTCTTCATATAGGGGTACAGGGAATTTAAGATTAACTAGCGCATGAATCATCACTCATATGTAATAATTATGTAGTTAAAAACGGCAACGATGTTAAAAATTTCACTGACAGGTAAACCTGACCCCTACTCCTAATTTGCATTGTACGTTCTTCTATTGCAAATAGTTTTTAAGAGAAGCCCGAGGCGACTTTGTAGGGTATCCACATTAATTACAAGTTAGTGCTAGCAGATTTAGTAATACGACGCTTATCCTATTTAAGACATCTGTTATTCTTCTACTCGTTAATGATTCTAAACGATGACAAAATAGGCGTACTCTTGTTTTTATCGAAAACATTTCCCAATGTCAGGACCCAATGTTTTCAAAGGCTCTAAGATTCGAAAACAGATATTGTTTAAAAATAATTGCAATATGTCAGCTGCGATCCATCAAGTAATAGACGTTACCTTAGCTTTGATGCTATCTTATGTGCTAATATACAATTATAACGGTAATCAGTCTTCGAAGAAGCAAATGCGGATTGTCACAACATTAAAACATGCAACTTTTTTTTCTAAGCACATGCAATGCGAATTGTTCGATAAAAAAAATCGAAAATAAGTTCGTAACTTTTGATTTGGAACTTCTCCCTTTACTCTTCCTAGAGGGACTCGTAGGTCTCCAGCAGAATCTGTATCCGTCCATGCACATACTACAAAACATTCTGTCAACAACTAAAGATGAATCAAGGTCCAACGAAAGGAACTTCCGTATTCAGAAAATCCTATAAATTGCCTGTTTCCTTTTTCTTGCCCATTTTGAGTCGATGAAGTGCCAAGGTTGACCGTCGTTAGCTATTGTCAGACATCAATAGGTGTCTTTATGAGGCAGGTACGAGCGGACCTGATCGCTGCGGCGGTTTCCTAACGACAACCAATGCTCCCACTACAGGCTGTCAACGGCTACTCGCACAAAATGCGAAGCAGCAATATAATCCCTGCCTTACAAACGTCTTGTTAGTTGAGCTACCAAAAGCTCACTTTTTAAAAAAGCGCTAAAGAATCTGTGTACAATGTATGAAGATTTTCTTTTAGCATTATTACCTACCGAATTATAACTAAAGCAGTAAAGATCGATACGTCTTTTCATAAACCTATCTATTAGATCGCGGACTTCGATCCCGTAAGCGCACGGTAGTTGTACTTCATTCTCAGTTTGGTTTTTACCCAAGAGAGCTATGAAGCGGTGTGGTAACCATTTGACAGTGCTGAAATTTAAGTTGTTAGTGATAGCCAGATGTTCATGTTGACCATGATAACGCATCCAAGAAGACATGCATAAGCCAGCTAGATCACGACGCTTCCAGTGTGACCGTTTTAGGTAAGTGTATTGATGAAAAGCTTAAACTGTATACCATATTTGCCAGTTGGAAATCTCACAATTGTCCAATCGTATCGTTAAGTGACCTCCCTCGAGCGGTCAGATCGCAGCTGTGAGAATACGTCATAAAGCTTACGGTAATGTAGCACGTTGACTTAAATTCATCAATAACTACTAATATACGTAACATGGCTGATTTCTCTTGTATTAGAATATTAGTGTTTAACATATAAATCGCATAGGGTCGTTAATACTGTTGGGTATACCGCTAACAATTTGGTAATCATACATTTTACATTGATTTGGTCTTGAATTATGGCGAAGATTTAAATGCACACCACTCTGGTACGGGTTTGATTACTATTCTAGATTACCGCTTCTATTTACATGTTTGCCTTACATTTCGAATGCTTGTCGATGCAGAACGGAGTAAGCAGTAAAACGACCTAAACAGTAAGACGTGGCATTCAAAGAATGAATCTTTCTGCATAATAGTAGGCTATTAGTTACAAAACACGTTTGGTAAACTTTGACCATCTCTTTCCCGACTGCAATGCAGACCAATGCTACTACTGGCTAGACGCCGACGTATGTCAGTTCGAAAGAAGATGGCAGATAGTCGAATATGAATTCAACGAAGGAATACCCCATCTTAAACTCAGTCTGTCGACACGAGCCAGTACGTGGCGTGTGCTTTGGCTGACCATCTATTCCATCTAGACACATACCTAGTTATCTCTAGGCGGAAAGGCAAAGCTTTTCGGCGAAGATATTCCATATGTATATGGCGGTCAGCTAATCAAAAATTGCCGCCCTCCACAAAAGTAGCCAGTTCTAGATCTTTCCCAGAGTTTAGCTTTCCGGACTTTGACAGAGAACCTGAGCCACAACGACATTTCAATCGAAAACTTTGTTTGTTATAGGTCAAAGGGCCGTCAGGCTGCTTGCAGCAACCAAATCATGTTTATTTTATTAATGTAGCTTTGGAACTCCGAGAAAGCTTCAAGACTGCGACAGTAATGGTGTATGGCTTGCATGCGAGTAAGCTTTTTTCATCTGAACGACGAATAGAATGATTTTATTATTATATTTTCGAAAGGCTTTGCACCGGAGGCTGTTTTACATTTAATGCATAATAGATAAGACAAGAATCCTGGTCAAGTAAACAAAATCATCGACACGTTGTTCAAAATTCCAGGGAGCTCTCCGGTTCAAATTTGTGGAATGCGTTAAGGTCGACAGGGAAAAGTTCATAGAATCTTTCTAAGGAAGATCGTGTTAGTGGGCTAACGATAAAGTCACAAGGAGTCTGATCTGAGGCCGCCGCATCCAGGTAAGGTTAAGCCAGAACGGGGGGGGGGGGGGGGGGCGGTTCTTAGTCAGGGTTTTACAATAGACCACCCCCATTACGACACAGCATTAACATGAGTAAGCAGTCTGAAATTTTTAAATTAAAACTAAGCCAAGTTAAATAAAGTTTAATTTATATACCTTAATGGCATTCTCATTCATCTTCAAGAAAACCAGTAGTCTCCCTTTCTCTCTCTCTATATATATATATATGCGAATTGAGATAACTGCAAAAAGTATTCCCATCTTGTAAAAAATAGTGGATAGAGAGACATTATAGCGCCGAAAATTAGAAAAAGCATTTGCTTTTGACAAGCTAGCCTTACTCATATTTACCACTGAACACTTATGGGGTATATATGCTCAAAATTAGAAATTAGCGCTTGAGGCACATTGCGGCGCTCCATCTGTTGACCAATTTTGAGCTATGTTCACGTGTACATCATAAAAGATCATCCATTTTATTTCGCCATCTCGCTCATCTAAGCTACCAGCTGTGATGTATAACTGGTGGTGAAGTTTTTGAAGATAGCGCCGGCGACTTGAATGGGAGTAAGCGGGATAAACGAGCTAAGACGTTTGCTCAAATACACGTTATCAATTCATTTAAAAATAGGTCTGAATATTCATTGGGCGCGGTATCGCTTGTATCGTAACAGCTGGTATGGCGGTTCAGCATTTACTTGAATTCTTCAGATATCTGAAGTAACCAGACAGTACCCATGAGTTAAGTACGATAATAAATGTTTTCGTTCAAATTAATGAGAACATTTATTTTTTAATGTCAAAGGTTAGTCATACAATTTGACGTGAGTACTGAATCTTGTGATTACTTCGCTAGTGCATAAAACGTTAAAGATGCATTGGATAGTCCAACAAAGCTGAAAAACGAATTCGCCTTCAAAAGGGTAAAGTCAATTGTTGGCGAGCTTCGAATTATGTTGCGTAATGCCACACGCCATTAGATAGAACATATTATAGATCTAGGTAAAGGACAAGGCTATTTCCCCTGAATTATGATGACCATAAATTAACCATTTTGGCGCTAACCTTTTCGTTCGAAGGTCGAAACTAATGCAATTTATACTGACATTTTCTGACAGACCACTTGTGATCTGGGGTTCCACTTGTTCGATCAGATCATACCTTCATCGGTTGTAATTTACTGTGACAAACATCGTTTACGCACTTCCTTGACCGTTGCACATACTGTCCGATTGGATAACTTGACAACTTTTCATAGTCATAGGTTTAAGTGGCTCTTCAAATGTCTTGTGTGAAGGGCCCCGCTACACATAGTTTTATATTTCTGCCTCTGTTAACAGTGGGAACTCAAATGTTTAGTAATAGTATTTGCCGAGATCGACCAAGTCGGTAAGAATGGTTTCAGACCGAGAAGCCTATAAATGAAAAGTTATCAAATGTGATACAATACGTTTGTAAGTATAGCTGCCGACAGCTGCGCCTGCGGCCGTTAGTCACGATACCGTTGAAAACATTGAGATCTATCTCATTTTGCCGCGGACCTGTCATCAATCGAATGCAATGCAATAACCGCGATGTGCCTATATCAGAAGTCCAGTACGCTTACACCTAGCTGGTCGTACTTTTGGCAGGTGTTTTTAGGTGATATTATCAAATTCACTTTGAATGTGGCGTATTCTCAACGAAAAAGACCTTTGTGCAAAATAAATATACTCACATGCTAACAAGGATGCAAACTTTATTCTTTCAGAGAATATCACATCATCCGATATCGCAAGTATATCGATATATACCTCTCTAGGAGAGACCGATCTATACATGACGGTGCTTGAGTATTCTGAACTTTGGCGTGTTGACAGGCTTTGCATCGTTGTCGATTTCGAAGGACAACAGAATCTCAGTTAAGGCCATGAATACTTCCTGTTAATGGAATAAGTCATACGAGAGCTAGATTCTATGCGACGAAGGTATCCTGTCGTCCCATCAGATCACTGCGGTGATCAACGTCAATTTTACAAGTCAAACCCAAAACACAGGTGCATGATATGCTAAACCTAGTTTAGTTTTTTAGCGTATTTGTCCAAAATACATAATTTGACCGTGAGCATATTGGCATGATGCGCGACATATATCCCACATTTGTTACGTTGAATATTTTTTTTCGATAAAAACCGAATATTTAGGGTCCCTAGTTTATCTGAAATGTACGTGGTGTGCCAGCAAGATTCAGATACACCCTAATAGAGCCGTTACGACTAGAATCTCATTGAGAAACGGCAATCGTACAGAAGTACGCGTGCGTGTCGGCGTATTGTATTGGGTGTAATTTACTGAATGTAATGGGACTTGCTAATTGATGCTTTGTTTATATTGATGTGGGACCATTATCAAAAGAGAGATTATCAAAACTCACTTTTCTTAATCGTGCAGCTGAGTTTTTAAGCTGAGTATAAATTATGTGATATCAATGTGTGTACACGCATTTAAAATAATCTGAGAACTTTCCATTTGACGAAATATAAAAAATTATAACTTTTCAAATTTTCAGACGGCGAAAAGATACATTGTTGCATGTTTGAACAGCACAGATACGTACACAATCAGGTATGGCGAAACGCAAATCCGGTCAAATTACTGCTAATTTCCGTATTCGAGATAGCCAGCATTATTGGAAATGCTGTTTTTGTGTGACCCCGATGAGCTTTAATGCATTTTAGACACTTTTTCCAGGAAAGCTTAATGCGGAGTTTCTGAGCACGCATATTCTTATCACTGTTAACGTTATCGTCGTCTCGTTGACGCACTTGTGCCGTTTGTATCAACTTAAAATCTGCCTCAACTTGCCTCGCTTTAACTAAGCTTCAGTTTTATTACATGATTCGAACTTCAGAGATAAATCAAACTCTAATCTTTTGGCAAACACGAAAAAAGCAGTTCCGTTATAGCTTGCGCTGAAACACTGAATGACTGCAGAAAAATGTCAAATCACAGTTAAACGCTTCTAAATAAAAATTCTAAGTAAAAATTCTTTTATGTTGGTTCTAGCGAAGACGTAACAGGTACACCTATACAAAACATGGGTATATAAGTGGGTTATATCTCATGTAAATGTTAGCCAGTGACTAAAATGTGCGGGTACTCAATCGATTTCTTCTACTGATTATCAACAAGCGGCTCGGTTCGAGCGAGGGGCTAATATGCCCTGCACGGAGCACGTATGGGGTCGACATTCACAAATACCGATATTATTGTTTTCATTGCAATTTCTATCGTGCTATGTAATAGTTAGAATCCTTAAAGATGATCCCATTGGACAAATATAACATGCTTAAACATGACCCTATGATTATTAATTTTCTATCACAATAGCGTCCTTCCCTTTTCCATACAAGAATACGCCGGACTATAAATTTGGATCATTTAGATTAGCATATCCAATAAAGAATAGGAAATATGAAGGGTACTAACAATGCAGTACAAAATGTTTGGACGGTTTATTAATCATAGAAATAACTTTATTCTAGATTACGGGATGACAGTGATGCTGGTGGCGTGACTGGTATATATGGAGCTTGGCGAATGTATTGAATTAAATGAGAGGCCAGCAACGGATAATGGAAGCTATCGATAGCAATATCATAGGCGCTAAGGTTTTCTGCTATCGTTTCTTGTTCAGTGCAGAAAATGGCAAGATTTGCTATGGTACAATTAACAAGTGTCTCCGACATGCAGTGATTAATCTTTACGTAATACGACTTGCAACCTGACAACTCGCATCCTAGGTCCATATTATAGCAGTAGATGTCTCCACTGCATAGTGACACGTTACGAAAGATCCACAAGGGGAGAAGTTGTGAACTTCATCCCGATATAGCAAACTAAATGCCTAGGAGTCGTTGCCGTAGATAAACAATACATCTCTACTTAAATAACCGGTCTACTTAAGATTTTCTTGTAATGTATTGTAGGAGCCTAGGTGGAGTGAGAGACATTAAAGCAGTTCAAAAATGCCTCGTAAACTTTGATTTATGGGTGTTACTGTTGCCGCCTTCAAACAAAAGTCGGTTATTTTTAGAAGGCTGTATAATTCCGATACCACTGAACAGTCCTCTTCGTGACGCACAGCATTCATGTTGGACATATTTGCGGAAAACGAACCCTTCTGCTAATAAAATAGTAAATTTTAACGTAAAATGATGATCCTTTCCTTCTTAATCGATACACCGTTCTACAATCAAGCATTCTACAGTCTTTTTTGATCGGTATCCATAAATCCGCTTCTCTAGTTGCAAACTCAGCAAGGAAGAGTCGGGATCGACTGTTGTAAGCTAGCCTTGTTTCCGCCTGCTGTGATATATTACAAATTAATCATAAATACGTTGCTGTTATTGAATATTTTTGCCATTTGACAGGATGCTTTAATGATACATTCATCGGATTGAAGCCTGAGAGTCCAGAGAAGATTGGTATTTATTACAGCTTCAACACCGTCGATAAGAAGACGAATCTCTCATGGGATGCTACTGAGGATTATATTTGGTCAAATGTAGCTGATACGTTTAAAAAAAGAACTCAGTTTGTGCTTCAGGCTTATGTGTCTGCAGTGTCCAGCCAACTCTTATGGATCTACTATTAGAACACTACCCCGGTCAAAACGTCGTAGTGATGCTTATCGATAGGGTAAAAGGGGCTACGTAAGTTGGCAAGTTTTTTAATTGGCTGTCTGCGCCTTTTCGATGAAGAAAAAGGACGAAATCCGATTTATTATACTATACAAGAGGGTCTGACATTAAGTACTTGGATTTATTACAATACGAACGTCGGTAATGGTTTCTTTGGAGTGGTAGTTCTGCTCGAAACTATGTATTAACGATATGTATATGTGCTGGATAATATCACATAACCATATAGTAGTTATTCGGTGCTCTATCCTAAAGTATAGTGAAATCCTTAAAAAAAGCTACAATGATCAGCGTAGTAATCATATCATACGGCAGATGAACTTAAACCTGGCATTTGTAGCTTTCTCTTGTACAATAAGGCTTGCCTTACGGTGAAGTGGATAATTGTCGTTCTTAGTGGATGATTATTATTAAAATTGTTCCCAGGCAAAGTTTTTGCCGAAGACATTCATTTCATGTACTTTTCGCCCATTGGCGGCCAAATGTCAGGCTATTTCGCCAGAGACTTTTTAGGGAGACGAATACGAAGGTAGAAGAACATCATGCAACCTGTCTGTCATAGAATAAAAAATATTCGTTAAAATATACGTAAAATATTGTCTTATAAGTACAAGTTTATAATATATATAGTATCATAGATTTGTCTGAAGCCTACACTTATCCTTATAACAATCACTAGATCGGAAAGATTATTGCGTTTGACATGGCGTCCTCGCTATCTGAAGACAACGAAATTTTTCCACGAAAAGACGATGCCAGCTTTATTGAAGGAGTTCATACATCAGGCGGACTGTCTGACGGGTCAGGTGGGTAGCATCAATCATTCCTCGATACAAGGCGTTCTCCAATTGAATAATAATCAAACTCTGCGTTCTTCAACTAAAACTAGAATAATAACTGTACCATAGCGACCCGTAATATTACTTTCTGCGAGATCAATTTGTCGGTATTGGAAACTGATTGGTAACCTTAAAACTAATAACTAACTAATAACTAGTCACACATACAGCTACGTATTGAAAACAGGTTTAAATAAGATGCTGAGAAATACTGATAGAAGAGTCTTTGACTTTAATACTGTTTCACCTATTTGCACTCCCTTTAATACAATTAATTACTACTAGATATGATTAGTCGATAGACTCCAATCCGGTATATTTAAACCCATCTTGAGTTCATGGCCTCCTCTTCCGGATTTGCCACACACGCCTAACATGTATTCTTAAAATTCGTGGACAATTCGTTGCTACAGAACTATCTACATGCTACTACTACTATGCTACAGGACTTTTCCTCTTGTGACAACAATGATCCGGCTTTCCCTGTTCTCGATGTTTCACTTTGTGGGCAGTGCAATCTGCGTAGAAAAACACGGTTTCTCTTCTCAAGTTCTGCGAAATCTGATTTTTCCTGCCGTACTACTGTTTAATCGATTCTGAGCGTGTTTACCTACTTGATTCAGGAACAACCATACAAACCTTGGCCTTGAATCTTGAAAGAGACACGTTTGTTTCATGTCGGAAGTTAGCCGTCTGAAATGTTGTTGTAAAACTAAAGAACTCATTCAAATCGCACTATGGAACCAAAGTGACATATTTTTATCAAATGTGCTTCTTTTTCCTATAACTCACGCTTGTTAGATATACTATTTTGTGAAAATAAGTCCTTGGAATTACCTCGTCTGTAGAACTTCAATAAGCTCCTCTACTAGAAGAGGTACCTAACGTGAGTCTTGCTGAACTTAACTAACTTTTTTACGACTGACTGAGGGAAATGCACGGCAATAAAACAGATAGCTGTAAACCGAATTTTCTTTCTTTGTGTTCATAACCTGTGGTATTTAATTACTGATCGGCTTACTTTGCTAACGATGCGATTTAAGCCAGTGTGGCTGTATGCATGTTCTCCTATGCTGACCATATTAATACGCTCAACGAGGTAATCCATAGATTACCCCTTCACATTTGTCGCGTTCTTAAAACTCGCTTCAAATTTCGGCCGTAGCAACAGCTACTACTTGTTTCTGAAGAAGGAGAGAAAACTAAATTGACGTCTGTATTAAACGTATATTACCTCGAGGTATTTTAGCGTAAATTGCTCGCTAGTTTCTGTGATCGCTGATCGTCGAAGTAAAACAGGAGACATTTGCTGTAGCTAATCTTCAGCTGTTCGCCGCCTTTTCTATTTGTAGAATTTTTTCTAGTAAAGTAAAGTGCGCCTACACCTAGCTTCGCACCCAGACTACATGCGTATCTTTCAGCTGACGGTACAAACACGTTGCCCCTGCAGCGTCGCAGGGCTAGAATTGTTAGCGAACGGTTTACACTTATACGATCAATATTCTCTAACGGAAATTTACCGCCCAGAGATGTTACCAACGATGACAAAGTGCGTAATAGTGAAAATATGTACATTAGTAAATGGAAAACTAATAATACACGGTGATACCTGTTCTTTTTGTCAGGTCGGAATTACACAACCCTATGGCGACATCGACTACTATCCCAATTGGCGATAAAAATCAGCCCGGCTGCAGTATAATAGAGGTTGCTTGCAGTCATCAGAGAGCTTATCAGTACTATATCTCAGCTTTGCAGAATCAAAAATGCCATATGAGTAATATGTATGTTGATAACTTGAAATCGAGCTAAGTATGTTGCGACCAGTTACGCAATTTACATTATGCGCCGCGTAATGTTTTAAAATGTCATCGATTTGTGTGTCTTTAAATAAAAAATATCATTGTTTACGTGCTTTTTCAATCGAAAGAAATAACTATACGATAGTATGTGAAAATAATAGGTTTCTAATTACCTCAGGGACTGTCTTTTGTGATTGATCCTTGCGTCTCGGACAAGTTCTAGGTGTGCTACAGCAAAGGATGCCCTGTCTGACCCAAACCGCATATCCTTGGCCGGTTGCAAAAGCCCACTGGCTCGCCATGCAAGAATGACAATGATATCGTCTTTTTTAAGACCGGAAAAGAGACCCCATTCTGCATCTATCAGTACTAGACCATAGTTAGTATAAGGCTGTTACCTAGAGGATATAATCCTTCGAAATATATTTAGTTTATTAAGCGAAAGACGAAAATATTGAATCGTTTGTAAAATGCTGATATTTTCAATTATTATAGCTCCGTCTTGCGGCCGCATAAAGCAGTATCAAGAACATGCTTACTAGAGAACAGAACATTTAGTTTTTTCACGTATGTTCTAGACTTGATGTGTTTCTGCGAAATATCTGTTTTAAGCCCTCACGAGGATCTACGACTAAAATATACCAACTCATTAACTCCGTCACATTAGATTTGGGTTGAAAGCAAAATGGCTGGCTAGTTTATATTTTATTATAACATTTGTTAAAATTAACCAAATAACCTGTTCTACTCATGCTTTAATCCTTTAACCATATATGCTATTTTAACATTAACCTTCAATATCAGCTTGTTTTAACGTAGACAAAGCTCACCGAAATAGGTGTACAATAGCATCGCAAGGTACAATTGCATGGACATCTCACCGAAAAAGGCTACGCAGGGATGTGTATATTGGAAAAAACTTCTGTTCTTTGACATGATGCCGACAGACGTATTTAGGCAAATGACAGTCGAGCGATATCTTGATCTCTATTGCCCACGATTGCATTATTGAAGTGCTACGGAGCCCTGACGGTGTTTCCGTTGCGCCTCTTTATTACCATACGCATCGGTAGGCCCTCTTTGTTTGAGTGGCTTCGAAATTAGCACGACTCCAGTTGCGTGCTTACGGAGAAGATGCGGCTAGCTCAAAGACACTCCGGCCTCTGTTGGTGCGTTAGAAACCACGTCCGCATTTCCTCAGTGCGGCTTTGCACTTCAGCATTTCACGGCTGCCCAGCAATCCTGTATTGTTGTCATTGCGCACGAAAATGACGCAGGTGGCCCTCGTCGGACTCACGTTTGTATCAACTGTAATACAACTTAAGAACATAAACGTAAGTAAAGATCCCAACAAGTTGGACACGAATTGGACAATGTCTACAAGACTGATCCCAAGCAGCTTAAGTGTAAGTCAAAAGATCAATTTGACTCAACAGGGTCAAGCTTGATCGAATAGTATCTGGTAGCTATGCAACACTGGATAAATGAGCTCGAAGCTTGATATTGATGTATAGAAAACTATCACAGTAAAGGCAATAATGAAAGAATTGTTACGTACTACCGTTAACAGCGTTCGAGTTACCGCTGTTAAATCTGGCGACCATACATTCGTCCGTTGTGCGACCCGGCACCGGGACGAAAGTTATAGTTAACACCGACGCAGCCACTGGGGTATCCGATGATTCAGTATCTTCTGCCAATGGGGTGATGACGAGCGAGTCTAAATCATACCTCCGTCGGCTGTAATTTTATTCATTGTCTATATTGCGTAAGAACACAGTTATTACCAACACTGCCAATTGTCAAAAATGGTTTAACGCAACGATTTTTTGTTGCAGTCTTCTCTGACTAGATACAACCGTTCGAAAATACTCGACATAGGATCTACTAAGAAACAACTGCCAACCTATCGAATAGTAACAATAATTATAACAGATTAGTATCCGCTTGGAAATTTTTAATATTAATTATTGACCTCGTACATTACATACCTACCACGCAGACCTCTGGTAGAACTACCAGTGACTGCCATTGCGGGTATCGCTTGATCCGGGCCACCGCTCACCAATACGATACGTTGATTTGGACTAGGGCTATATTGTGATGGAGAAATTGATAGTTGCGGATTGACAGATACTGAATTGCTTTCGCGGACGTGCCATCCGTTGTGTGCCGAAAGAAACTATTTAGAGAAATAAAAGTTAGCATATTGAAATAGCTTAAAGGCGAGACAAAACGCATAGGTTAGCCTCGTACTATATGCAGATGTTTAGATACGTCCTGTATTAGAAACACAAATACGAGCAACTTTTCGGCAGCTAAATTACCATTATAGAATTGTTTGATTGTAATATCAAATACGTTCAACATGATGGTCTGTCTACACGATGGGTTCTGTAAATAACATCGAGCATGCTTGCATCTCTGTTACTTTGATCAACTAATCTGACTACAATGTTAGTGTTTTGCAAACCTCAGTTAACGGATCTACGTTTATCATTACAGATCAGTCAACGAAAAACGGACTCAGACGCGCCTCAATCAGCGTATTCAATAAATTGCGAAGTAAGCCAAAAAGATCTAGCCACGTTGCCGTTTAGCAGAGTTTGCCAATAAAGCTTGAAGAAAAAGCAGAAAGGAGATGCAGGTGCCTCAGAGAGGTCGGATCAGTATCGCACATAAAGAAATAAATATTGAAACAACGCATATATATTTCCGTTAAGAAAGAAAATATCCTTCTGTCTGAAAGCGCCGATAGCTTGATCATCCTCATTCGCAGGATTTCATACATTTTCCAGCATACGAAATCGAGCTCTCACAAAACTGTGCTTCTTTAGGGTCTGCGTAGTAATGTCACTAGCAGACACCATGTTGGCAAAGCCGGTTTGTTTCACGTCGACTGAGGAGAAAAACAGTCGCAACGACTGGACTTGGCACACAGTGGTGCCTACACATCTGAAAGTTCAACATGCAGGTTCACGAAACACCTTCTTTTGAAAATCAGTTAAATGACAGCTTGCCTTTAAGCTATTTGGTCTACATAAGCCTGTCCCTGTCCATTTCTGGGTCTAGCAAGCCCGAGCGAGACATTGAGCATACAACTTTGAATAAACCGGTGTCTATACGTAAATTAAGTCTGACGTAAAAGAGAATCTTATTTGGTAATTACATCATGCCGAAAAGCGTCTCGTAGCTGCAGTGAGCTTAGTGGCCCGTCTTGTTCTACCAATGTATTAGCCAACATGAGGTTTTGTTTTTTTATCTGAGAAGATACGTATCTGGCAGATAGCTGTATCAAATTTAGTACCAGAAAAGTTTGTCAGTCGTAATGGCCCATAGCTAAGTTCATAGAACACACACCAGCACTTTCTTCGTTCTGAGTAGTATAAAGGAATTAACCGTGACTACTTATCCGAGCTTCCACAATACTCAAGCTAACAGACTAAATTTTACTACACATTGCGCTAGCACCGGCACCTGCTAGACATTGCTGCTTTTCGAGTTATAGCTAAGATTCATACAAACCATCGCTATGGGCTACGAGGTCGCGTGCCGTTCGTTACGCAACTTTCTACCGTACGCTTGCGAACCTACCGTAACCGCCTGATTCCTTGGGTTTTGATGTCCGTCGACGGCGCTAATTACCGCGATTGCGAGCAACACGAACTTCATGATAGAACTTCATATAGGTGATGACACCGAGACGAGATGTTCAACGCCAATTACGAATGCCAGTTCTTCCTGTAATCAAACCACATAAGCGCTTATCACTGCCTGGGTTCGTTGCTAAAGTCTGCGTACCGCCACTAAAACGACGGCGTATTTATAGAAGAACTAGCCTCTTGCGCACTTGTTTTTCGCCGCTTACCATATCATCCTATATATATAATCTGAATAACTAAATCACACGACATTTACCGTTACGTTTTCTCCTATGATGGACACAGGTTCGACGTCCTAGTACCACAGTCGCTACCTGGAAAGCACGCTTTGAATGCACGTCCACGCACAGCAGCTGTAATTCACAGTCTATCGGAAACACAGGCTCAATGAGGAATGAATACGCAGGAAACTGCGTCAGCTAAAGACTTTATCTAAGGCCAACAATTTGCATCGTGTCGACGCCCTTAGCGGCACAATAAACCAGTAGACGTTATAATCAATACGTAGGCCTAATTGTTGCGGTAACAGTCGCGTATTTATCACAAGACGTGACGTTGCACTTTTTGCTGTATTAGGATGATCTTAGCTAAAGCAGCGTCACGCCATTGCATTATCATAGCAGTTCGTGGCTTGGGCTTTAAGCGCCTTTCATCACTTGAAACCGTGTCAATACTGAGGGACGCTTCGACGGTGCGTGCTGATGGCTGTAATATATGGAAGCAGCGATAGTAGACAATATGGTAGGTTCACAACTGACTTTTAGCTGGAGAGTCTGTTGGCGATTAAATTCTATTTTAATGACTGATCCTCTGATAAAAGTTTGACTAGTTTGACTAGTCGGGTAGTTCTCATTGGGTTGGCAACCGTAATTAGTGGCCCTAATAGACAAGCGTTGACTGGAGGTTTCATAAAAGCTTACGCCTTATGTTAAGCAACACAAAAGACAGCAACAAAAGAGTTTTCTTACTTGAATAAAAACCGTCTATATACTGGAGGGTTTTAATACGAAAAAATGCTTTAAGCTTAAGCGCTGCACGTTCATTTGGATATTATAAAACTGTTTGTTTTTTTTTTTGAGTATTTTATAAGCTTAAGCTCGTTAAAGAACGCTGGCGTATTGAGTCTCTCGGACCAGCGATGTTCAGTTTTGGCTGATTTCACCGCTTTAACCGCTCCGAGTATTTCGCGGAATGGTATGCTTCTTGCAATATAGATAGTACTAGTTAACAGAAGGCCACAAGTTATTACTTGGTAGGTGATTCAAATCACTATTGGATTTGTCCATTCAAAAAAGGAATAATGTCCTAAAGCATCTTATTCGGATTCTCCGGCGGAAGACACTCTTTGTCTCGTGAACCTTTTTGTATGGACAGAAGGTATTTAACATGATACTATGGATCTATGGAAAAGCAAGTTTTGAAAGTCTGCAATTTTGCCGAAGCGCACTTTGCGGTAGAACTTTGACTCGTGTTGGCTTTACGTGCGGTTTCTCTTATGCATCCTATAGAGGAAAGAGATCGTTATGTAGGCATAGAATATTCTACTTGCAGCATACCTAAGTCACTTGTGACAGCCAAAACGTATTGGTTTGAAAAAAGCTTATTATCTAACTATAATCATGAGATTCACTGCATTGTCACAAGGCCGTAGGTTTAATGTGACACACGCCCCCGCGTGAGGGCTTAGACTCATGGACTGAAAACGGGTTACACTTATTGAATAAAGGGAAATAAGTTAGGTCTACTCTTCTTATTCACTCGATAGGAAGTTCTGCGAAGCAATAAGGCTCTTTGAGCTAAAAAAAAGTCCTCTATAGTGTACCTACATATATGAAGGACCTGAGCCTGCGAGTTTCGTGTTTAACAATGAACTAGTTATAATGCTGGAAATCACTAAGTTGAACTGAGTTAAGAAATGTAAGTGAAGATAAACGCGAAATTTAATTCGATGTGAGTCTTGTGCAATACCATGAGTACGTTCTCGTCGGCCTACACGCATCCCATCTCTCCACGGGCTGTTTATTAATAAAGCCTGTTATTCGTAGACAAATAGAAAATCTCTTTCAACAAATAGCGGTAGCTGGAGAAAATGGTGCGAACGCCTGCTCCCGAAAACCGAATGTTTAACTTATGACGAATATGCCGTTTGTAAAAATATATTGGCTTGGGGACAATTTATGATTGCACTTTTCTCTAGTCTTTGGTCATTAACACGACCTGAAACATTGCTAACAGTAACGAACGCTGATCGGCGCTGTCTGCCCAGTATAGTAGGTTTTTGTGTACAAGCAATCTCTCCGTGAAACAGGGTGATCTTGCAAAAACCAGAAGCAGTTGTAAAAATTGTGACCCAGAATTGCTTGTCCTAAAATAGAATAATATATATGTGGGAGCTCTCACCGCATCGTCAAAACGTCTCACAGAAGCTAGCGTTTATTTTGTTTTGTAGGGGTAACAGAGGTGCCATGAAGGCCATCCACAGCATTTTCAATGAAGTCGTAAAGAACAGCCGGTCGCGCGCTCAGAGAGCTCATGTCAGCTTGACGAGTTTGCCGATTTCGAAGACCAGGTCAGGGTCGATATGATTCTAATGCGGCAAAAATAGTTGGTGTTGCTATAATTGCGTTGTCCTTGGTCTCCGCTAGTGTCGTATCCCATCATTATGGCTGTCATCACCATTCTGAATACCACCATTATCAAAAATTTCATCATTATCCTCATCACCAGCATCATGGATGCGGGCACCACCGCCACCATAACGCACATTCGTGTCCTACACATCAAAAATCGTTTCTTTATCACAGGCGGTACATAAAAAAGGAGGGAAACAGTCTGTGTGAAAAAGAGTATAAAAGGGAGAGGATCGTAAGATAAAGAACCTAAATAACTATTATCAAAAATCAACAATTTACTTAGCCTTAAATAAATAGCTATGCTTACTATTTAGCAAACACGATTTTTGCAGATTTTCGATATCGACCTAGTCTGATAAAATATTTTGTATCCGATTGTTTGTTACCTATCTTTTCGTTTTTTTTTTCTATGATTCGTTTACTATTGCGTAGCATTATATACCGTTGAAAAATTTCTCCTTACCCTACCAGCCATCTTGCAACCGACTTCGTTTTGTTAAAGTCAATATTTTTAGCTGGACCATCGAACATATGAACTGAAAATAAGAAAGGAATAAATTTGAATACTACCGTTTAGTCGAAGTAAAAATGTTGCCAAGCCATTCAAGAAATGTATCACGCGTACAATGAAACCTGTTTAGGTCCGTCTAATATTTACCTGTTTTTAAACACCTCTGAATCAAGTTTAGGATGAAAGAAAAAAAAATTACTGAAGTGCGTTGTTTGAGTTGAAAACGACTTGTTCGAAAGCAGAGAGCTTTCGGGGTAGAACTCTTAGCCATGGGGTCTTGTATCTACTGTTTCTGCAGTTTTTTTATTTTAGCGTAGGACAAATAATAAATGGTCAAAAAGCTGTTTTCTTTTTTTACCACCGTATTTACTCATCTTGGAAATCCACAATGAAATTTTATAACCCCGACAAAACAGTGATAACGGCGTTGCAGCTATCAGTGAAGCAATAAAACAGTTATTGCTTTCTGAATATTTGCGCCCATTAGAACGAAATGTGCAGCATATCATACTTATTTTCACACAATGTCATGTTTTCCACCTATCGATATTCCCAAGAATCAACTTTTTTATTTTTGTTTCTGCAACTTTATTATACGTTGCATGGCGATCTTCACTAGAGATGTGGTAACTCTTCATGCCTGTCAATGGATTCAGATCTTTTGCGTTGATTCTCCTTTAGTTCGCTCTGGCTTCTATAAGAAATAGCGAACTATTAATACGTGATTTCTCAAAATCTCATAGATAGGCTATAATAGGCTATAATCTCATAGATAGGCTGGCGACCTGTTTACGTTGATGTAGACATGTGTGAACATGTTTACATTCATCAAGGTCCATTGAAATCGGATTATTCAAGTGCTGTCTCTTCCTTTGGCTGAGGTAAGAACGAACCTTCCAGAAGTACAAGTCGACGATGGAAACCCGAGCTTGAACTCGCAACGATCTGTCGCACAGAATGGTCGATAATCGCCGAATCTGTGCTGAGAGCAATAGCTACGTGAGAAGTCATTGCATTTTATCAAAACGGCTAAGATTGATCGGAAATGGAAGGGTTGGACATATCGAATATAAACTAATCCTATTTTAATAACATAACACCTTTACAAAGAAACATTAGAGTATTTGAGTAAAAAGGCGTCGTACATAAACACAAACTACTGTCATGAACGTTGATCGTCTTCGCTTGTCCTTCAGATGATCTTTTATTTAATCATTTGATTGTACGAAAGGTGAAAAGAATTATCTGCGTAAAATACCTTTGTTTGAACGTGTTAAAATAATTTATGGGTCAATGCTGTGAGTAACTCTATATATGTTGAAAATTACATTGGACAAAGAGAGCTGCCCGAGAACTGTACAACATAATCAAGCTTGAATTCGAAATTATTCTAGGATTTAGTACTTTACTCATATTTGCAGTAATTGGTGGGTGCGTGGTAGTTTCTGGACGGTAAGTTAAGACAGTAGGTAATGCTGGTTGGTTCACTCACGAAAATTTGCAAAATTATCTAGAAAGGAAGCAACTAAATATACCCGCACGATGCATATTCTACTAGCCGTCTAGGTTATTAAGCTTTTAGTGCTAACTATTTCTGCAGCGGAAACTGCAGCCGAACTACCAGCTTCTAACGGCAGAGTTGTAAAGCTTTGCGAGGGTGCTACATATATATGAGCATTTGGAATATTCCATGTTTATTTATCACAGCTGACCCATAGCATAATTTTATAACAGCTCATTGACTTAATAGCTTGCATTCAAGCCACTTGACTAGCTAAGAGTAGTGACGCAATATAAATTGCTCTGACCTAAAGTAAGATATACTTCACAAATTTATTTCATTTTTCAACAACAAGTATTGAAGTTTCACATCGTATTCTCAAGACCGGAGCGCCACACTGGCACATACGCAGTTGCGCATAAACCCATTTTAAGGGCAAACCTTATCTCGTGTAGAAGAACTAGACCGCAGACTGTATAATCAATAGCTTCCGTTGCGTCAAAACAGTTGATCGATTTGTACTTGTATGGACTCTTCCGGTAGAATAGTTACTAGTAGCTAAACGTGAATTGTACTAGTCGCAGTTCGCGTTATTTATCTAAGTACGCCAACTAAAGGAAAAATCTGTTCCGATTATTAGACTGTTAATTTAGTCTTTGACGCTAACGTATAGCCTACACGTGAAAAATCAACATTTGTTCTCTGTCCCAATTCCCACAGACGCAATATTTTGAGGAGTAAGAGAATTGTGCAGTGGACAGTTTTCCTTGAAGCTTAAAGTAAACGTATAATTTAAGCCCTGAAAAATATGCTTGCAGTTGCGTCAACTCGGAAGTCACTGTTTGAATTTGTTAGGTTTTATAGCATAGTCGACCGTCGATTGCACAGTTCTAAATAAAACCACAGAAATTCGAGTTTGGACACCTTCACTTGATGGTCCGAGTTCCCAGGCAGGATTTTGGCCGCTCATGAGTCTTCCCTAAGGTGCAGGCTTTCTTGGGCAGAACAAATTGCTAGCTTAACAAGTTAACTGAAAACGCTAGCGTCTCGAAAAAAATCATCAAGGTTCACCGTTACTCAAGGCGAAATGAACATATTACCGTTTAACAGTAGTTACAGAGAACTTGTTCGTTAAATAGAACATTTGGGCCATCTATGTATTTAGCTTTATGTATCCCCTAAGACATTAAGTAAGTAGTCATTGCGCGCGTACGGGGGACATCCTCGGTGCTTAATGGCCAGTCTGTTAGTAACTAATTATATCGGTTTGAAACTTAACATACTAACCCAATATTGACCATTAGGTTGTTCAGCACTTCTTTGCTTTCCCTCAGTGTCTCTTTTTGCCGAATTGCAGCAACCGGGTAAAGTACTCATATAGAACCTGCATAGAAACACGCTTCTTTAAGAGATTGGTTAAATTCAGTGAATTATTTCGTCTAAAGAACCACAAAACTTAATTTAAAGTTTTAATAAGGCTACCGCTTGTACTGACTATGCAAACACTTACGTTAGCCTAATTTCGTTAGTTAATAGTTAACGATAAGTGTTAAGTTTAAGTGTAAGCACACAAACGTATCGAATAGAAATCAGTTTAATTTAAGCTCCCAGAAACTGTATCGATGCTCGGATAAAACAAATCTAGGTCAATGCTACTTACCTAAAATTTGAAAATCATCAACGCGCTGCCTTTTTGCAGCGGTAAAACGACAACCTTGTTGCTATGGGACTGAGCGGGCCAACAGCATCATAAGATTCTTTGTTATTAACATGTAATTTTACGGTTATGCTTTAGCGTATTTAACCAAATCTGCCACAAAAAAGTAGCTTGAAAAGACGTGTGTCTCAGATCTCATATGTGTCAATAGCGGTCGTATCATTATATGACAGTATTGAAGCCTCAGCGGAAAATGAAGCTGGGAATATCTACGTTGGCAATGAAGTATTCCTGACCTCCATTCCATAATAGGGGAGTCAGGCGGGAATTTCGAGCAACCGTACAGAAGAGTAAAACATTCAAGTTGCTTGCTAAAACAGCTTGTCGTTCACGAAAATCGTAGCGAAGAGGGAGCGAAGCACAGAAAAATCACTCCAAAAGTGTCTATAATAATTATAATGAAAATGGCAAGATGGATGATAGCGACTACAGAAAAGTACGTATAATAAAGAAAGAGAGAAATAATAGCATCTAATATTCTAAGAGCACTTTGACCCTTAGAGCTCTTGATCTCATTGACACAAAGGATTTCACAAGCTGCTGTTCAGCTCTGATACACTGGCTTAGACTAATGCGTGAAAGACATTCTGCAAGAGTTTAAGTCAGACCCCTTCTTGTTGCATTTTTTGGTCACAGGCAAATTAAATTCGAAGAGGGTTTCAAAAGTCGACTGGAAAGGGTTTTTATTGCCAAGTCTAAACATTTCTGGCAAAATAGGATACACATCAATTGGTTTATAGCTGAGAGTACGTCGTGGAGAACGGCAGCAAATATCTGACGATTTCGTATCGGAATTCCAAGGGCGAAACGCTGCGTCTCGGTATTATCTGAGAAAGTCGAAATCATTCAACCGTCAATGTAGTTGTTAACATCTCCATGAATAGTTATATTTAAATGGTCGCCACATATTGAGCTGCGTCCATATATAGTAGCGAAAAAGTGCGCATGTAAATTAGAAGTATACATGTGTATAACTTAAACATTTAATTTATTTTTAGGCTATAATAGATGGAAAAAAGAAACGTTAATGTCGGTGTAGCTGGTGGTTGCTGCTAATATTTATACATTGGAAAGGAACGAACATGCCAGCTAGAAGTATTTAAGTTCTTGTTAAGTTATATCGAGGACAAGCAACTTGTTTACCTCACATTCACTACTCGACATTATATCTCCAAGATACAATGTTCGGTAAACATTTCTGTGCCGTTGCTCTTCGTTGTCGTTCCGTTAGAGAGAGCTCGACCACGTTGAAAACATTGGTTTTGTCAAGGATGGTGTTACGATTAGTTAAATTTTCAGATTTTTTCCCCCGGTGATCAATGTTTACAGTTTGTATAACGGTAATGCAGGTTAAAACCCAAGCATAAAAACTATAATGTTAGTGAGAAAATGTGAGCCCGCTCTGGTAAACAACGACTATTGCTATTGATATTATGCTTAGTTCCAAGGTTTTGGGGTGAAAATTTTTTAAACTTCGCTAGTTCTTTACTTGGAATATCACTTTTAATAAATAACATCCTCTTCTATCATCACGGCGAAGTGTGCCGTACACGAGATTAGCCTGCTGTGTTCAGTAGTCGAGCACCACTATATTCAATAGATACTAAATTCAACAAATCATATAACTTAATCCCTCAAGGATCGTGAATTTATTTTGTTTGAACGAAGCTTACATTTTATTTCGCTGACCATGTAATCAATTCCGTCAGTCAGCCTGACAAGCTTCATCTGTCCTGCCTGAGCAGCTTAACAGTCTGCAGCCATAGATTAGCCGATTGTCAACAAAAATCATGTCGTTTAACTCGTTCCTTAGTTTTGTTCTGCTCAACTAGTTCTGTTCTATACGAACCCCCCAGGCTCCGCCCCACGAGCCTAGCACCAATCAGTTCCCAAGCGCCCTTTCCCAGTCTAAACGGAAAGGGCAGACAAACCCTCTTCGCGTGTCCGAACGGCAGTCGTACGAGACCCTTTAAAAGAAACGGCCATAAGGGTTGCCGGATTTTTGTCATTAACCAGCCAATTGGACGAACTTATCGTTGCTTGTAATACGAAAAATAACTACCGGATTACCATTGCAACGCAACGCTCGGATATTGTCGAATAATTGGAGAGCTTTGGGGTACTCCAGTGAGGTGATAACTTGGTAATTAAGTGTTGTGCTCAAAACGGAACGAAATCGTTGTCTATATGTATATATACATATATATATATATATAGACATGTACTTCCTGTGTAAAACGTGAGAGTATTTCATCAGTGAACTACTGGTGTCTTTACCAGTCATTAGCAATTTGTATTAAATTAGTGTGTGGATGAACGTGGTCTGCAGTATTTGTGTGAATTTGTATACACGTTGTGTTCCAGACGAAGTGTGTCAAGAAGAGTGCGTCAAAACGTAACCTAATGGACTATTTTGAAAGGAGCATTTGTCCTCATTTAAGCCGAAAAGCGAAAAGTGGTACGTAGATATGCGATGAAGTTCTGTCAAGTCTACTCTGCATACTGCCGACAGGATAATCGCAGAGAGTCCAAGTTATCGCCTGAAACGCACAGTAATATTGAAGATGTCTAGCAATTCGATAGAACATCGCTTTCTAAAAGATGCGCCTGTTTCCAAGTTCCGTTACTAATTATTTTCTAGGTTTTGTACCTGACTCATATAGCAAGCTTTGAAAATTTACGCAGCTCCTAGATTATCGTAACTCTTCGAGGGTGGTTTATAGTTGTGCGGAACTTTAAAAAGCTACTTATTATAATAGGCATGTACGATGTTTTTAGAACTCGCGAACCAAGAATTGTCCATGTGATTACCCCTATCTTACTTATCGCTAATACAAACCTGAACTACTAAACGCGTTTGTAGACACGTCTGCCCTCTGACAAAAGACGGGAAACCGATGAAAGTCTCTTTGTATAGCGTGTATTGTGTCGGCCCGTTGATTAGTTGATAATTACTGCGTTTAGATTCTCCGCATGACACTTTGCCATTGAGCTCCGTAAAAATATTATAGTCGTTTGAAGAGAAACGTTGGACATTTCAATAGCACTCTACCTCTTCTTTAGTAGCTTGGTCGAAGTCGTACTTAAGTCCTTTTTCTTCCAAACATTTCCAGTGAAACACGTCTAATAATTTGGTCACGCCACCTTCACTGTCGGACGTCCTTTTCATGAAGCCACTAGCGCCCTAAATGCGTCAGTTAGTAATCGGTACCTAAAGACAAACCAAACAGCTGTTGTTAATCTACCTGGGACGACATATTATCCAAATGCTTAATTATGCGACGTAAGGTAGGTTTTCGACAGGGAGCATCGATATTTAGCCGGCTATGAGCTACTATTTCGGGAAAGCGAGTTCACCTTTTTGCCCGCGCAGATTTAAAAGTACATCGTCTTTTTACAGTTCTACATATCAATAATAAATAAATGTGACTGTTCGTAATACGCAGTTTCTAAAAGTTATTTTTGTGCGTAACTTCAACAACAAACGCATTTAATTTGGCAGTGTTTCTATTCAAGTCTTTAGGAAAGTGTTCTGTTCGATTTTAAACCTAGCTTAATGGGTGATATATTTGCTAGGACGTGTTGTGGTTTAGGTTCGAATCCGGGCAGAGACAGACTGCGTTCCGCGCTGGAAGCCAACCGTCTGTCTGATCGAATACCTGATGGCGATACTGGACGTAAAACTTGAAACATAGGTAGGTTTTCTTAGACATAAAGTTTTTAAATCCAGTGAAGAAATGACAGTGCACAAAGACGTCTGTTATCCTAAAGTATCAGGTACAGTGGACATGCTTAGCGTCACCAAGCAAATGAGAATTCATCAAGGATAACACGATGAGATCTAGCAAACAGCGAAAACGACAATAGACATTACGATTAGGATGATACTCTTGTGGTCAATTACTGAGATTATTTATGGCCGCTCAGGCGGCAGCCGAAATAAATCTTAATATGTCAAACAGTTATGTCATTGATTGAGGGTCTAGACATCGGAAAGCTGAACAATGCCTTCCAAATCACCTATATGACAACTCATACACCCTGGTACATTTGTATCCAATGGCAGTGCAATTTTCGAGCGCGTGCAAATGCTGTGCCTGTGCGTGCGGTCATGGCGTGTCGGCATTGCGCTGCGGAAGCTTCAGTATAAACATGGGCAAAACGTTCACTTTGTTTGCCCATCTAATAAGTCGTCTGGTCGCTTCGGCCGTTTCAATCCTTCGCAGCTATCGTAAAAGCGCCCACTTCTTCTTTCCTGTCCACTCAGACTTTTACTTCCATCGATGTTCCTGATTTGTCCGCTCTCTCCCGCCTGATATCGGCCCTCGCGCTGCGACGCCAACGACTGTGCTAATAACAACAACAATAACGAGGAGCGGCAGCGAACTACCTGTGCTGTTATTTCAAATGACTTCCACTGAAGCCATCTCTTCCCTCGGTGGTCGTAGAGCTACGGCAGCTACGGGAAGAGCAGCAGCCCCAGCTGCCGTTAATGTTGGCGTTTCTCGAGCGTCAGCCCGTTCCTCTAAGCGCGCTGCCGCGCACTCGCTACGAGGGCCACTGGCGCTGTTTCTCACTTCTCGTGCTTGCGTTTGCTGCTAGCATTGAGACTCCGCTTTCTCTCTCGCTGTATCTGACTGGCCGACTTATTGGGTCTGACGGATCTGAACTGGGCAGCGGCTGGCGATCGATGATGAAGCTGCGATGACGACGCTGGAGTAGTAGCAGCGGCGGCGGCCCGGCATCCAGCCACTGGACGTAATATGGTGTTCAAGCTAGTGTCTTCGCCGCCACTCTTCGCTCGCTATCTCCGGATGTTGTTGGATCATCATTGGCCGCGGCTATTGGCGTCAGCGTCGCGTCGCTAGCCCCAAACCCAGAGTGGCGCTGCCCCAGCTTCTGCTGTTGGGATGTGCTGCCCCTTGGAGAAGAACGATACGTTTGTTCTACCGTTATTGATGCCAACGTCAGTACTGGGTGAAGTCTGAAGCTGGCCCGGGTTCTCCAGAGCAGTTCAACATTTGGCTTCGATTCTGTCTCTTCATAGAGCAGCCTATGGCAAAAGCTGCAGGTCGATCTATTAGTTTGCGTGTTCGGCCAACTCTTTATTGCTACTTTTGGCTGTTTTTTTTTCCGGTGATTGGGATATTCATTGGCATAGCTTTTTGTATATTGTTATCACAGTGGCTTGAACGGGTTGAGTCGAGCAACTCGGTAATCAAGCACAGCCCGGGACGGAGCACATTATTAGTTGCTGTCTCAAAGATAACTTTTTTGTCATGATCGTGTTCGAAGAAGGGGGTCGAGACAATCGCGAAGTCAGCCAGAAAAAAAACAGGAGCAAATGGCCGTTTACAACGACACACGTGCGAATAGGATGGACTCTATCCGGATTAAATCAAAGAATAACTGTTGTGCAGCGTTTAACTTTAGCGTAGAGAGGAACCTTTGCTACTCAAGTTGCTATACAATATCCATAACTGGCATAGGCAAAAAAAAAGTTGTCTCGAGATTGTACCGTAACGATGGACGAAATTCAAAACGGGATAGCGTAAGGGAAAAACCTCAGATAGACGTAACTTGGCATAAAAAATCCATTTATTACGTAACAACATTATTACACATAATCGCATTGTAATATCAAAAATGGCAGTATCCTTCCACGTACATCCGAATACAAATTAAGCCTATTGTTTTTGCGTACATGATAGAAATTATTTCTTAGACCTGTTTTGCTAACATACGTCGGCGGTATCAAATATGGTGAAATGGCACACTCTACAAAGCGTTGCAGTCTAAAGATCCGTAAATGTTATGGTGATTGAGCGTTCGCTTCGCTCCTACGAATCGTGAGAACCCAGTATTAGTGGCTTAATATGGCGGCGTACTTACCTATTATAGTGAAAGCTGGGTGACAAGATTCACACACGAGCAGAAGAGTCGTTCGTACTTATTCGAAATATTTTTGTATGCGGCTAAACCCGTCTACGGTGACTACGGTAGAAGATGATCCTAACAGTTCTTGATGCTTTCATATAGAAGCGATCTCTTCAGTGGTCATTCGATGTAGTTAATCAGCCATTTTTTTTTTGCTCTTGCTAACATCGCTCCTGTCATTACCATAGATCCCATCCAGTCGCATAGTGCTGTTCATCAATCAGATGCCGGAGTCGGAACACAATTTTATCCACTGGTTGCTTCCACCTCGGCTAGATGATCCGTACATCAAATATCTTTCACCTACGATGCTGTTCGTCACTCTCTACCGTGCGGTTAGTTCTTAAGCGGCAACGCAACGAAGTTAACGAAGTAAACGTAATTAGCGTCTCTGTGTGCGCGTTCGTTGTATTCTTTCCTGCTGCTTCCTCCTTAAAGACACGTTACTCCTGTGGCCTCCATTTCTATACTCCTCCTGTTCTGATCTTCGTTCAATGGCAGCTCCGTAATCAATGCAACTGTGACCGACGGAGCCTTACCTTTGTTCCCACTCTATGAAGGACAACACTGCTCCCGTCTGACCAAGGCCGCCGATTCGTTAACCGGTCAACTAATAAACATGCCCACTCATGCCATGCCTTTATCTAGGTCCCATAAATATTAACTGTAGCGGCCTGGCGTGCATAATGTTCAGGCTACAGTCAGTATTTCAGTAGCCTTAAAATGGACAGGTACCTTCTGAATGGGAGAAACCCGTCATACCATTTGGACGACTATATCAGGGGTGGTGAGGCTTAACGATTGCGTACGCTACATAAGATGCGCTTGAAACACCTCGTCAAGAAACGATCAGTTCCGTTCTTTGATTTGTGCATACATCTTTAAAACAAAACTAATCTGACTGGTACGTTTTCGTCAAGTGTCTGTTGTCGTTTGTGGAGGTGACGATCAGCCTCAGCGTCGATAATTACTCTTATCATCATATTCACTATTATCATTTTTACTGAAATATCGGTCTGTTTTTTTATAGAGGAAACGTATAAACACTACGTTCTGCGTTCACTGAGTTAATCGCTTCCTTATTCCTAGCGGCTACTTCGAGCACTAAGTGGACAATATTACGAGAACACAAAAGAACGAGTGAGATGGCGAGCTGTCCGGTTAACCGCCCCAGAGACCGACCTGTACTGGGTCTTCGTAGTCGCTAGCAGCCTGCCCTGTGGTTCGACCGGATGACGTTCGTTGTCGGTCTGCGAGCCGCTGCCCATGTGCTCGTATCGTATCATTGTCATCGATACCCCCCTAATTCACTACCGCTACTGCGGCGTGGCTATCGTTAGTTGTCCCGCTGTTATACAATGTCTTCAACACCCGAACTTGTCAACATCGTGTAGACGGTATGGTATCGCATCGTAGAGTCGAACAAACTACCGATCTCTCCGATGATCGCGCTGACTTTCGTTTTTGTTGTTATTGTCGTCGTCGTCGTCGTCGTCGTCGTCGGCGGCAGACGAAGCCCAAAAAAGAAGGGTTCGTCAAGAGTCCTGTCGAAAAGCGATTATTTCTTGGGTTTCGTTTTCTCTCTCTCTCGACAAAGAGTTCGGTGTGGACTTCCGCGCTATATCAGACACAGCGCCGGCGAGACCCTGTCAGTGAAGTACCAAAAAAGACTTTTGCCCGATTTCAAACGAGGATGCGGCCAACATCACGAGATAGCAAGAATCTAAGTAATAGTTAGGAAGCTGCATGATGCGCGAGTACAAGAAAATGACACGGGTGTCGTTATTTTCTGAGAATGAAAATACTTGTTATGTGGATATAAAACCACAAGACAAAATACGTAGTTATGACATACGGGGACAGCTTTGGCCGGCTTTGATGGCTTTTCATTTGTGGCGTTTTTGGCGTTCGCAAAGTTTTTCCTATAACCTCCTTAGCCATCAATACCGTACGGCGGAGATCTTAGCTTTATTGGCTGCGGACCATTTGGATCGACCAGGCGCGCTCTATTCACTCCGAGAGTGTCAAAATTTACTTCAAAGACAAACCTAACTAGACCATACCGACCAAGTTCAGCAAAATTACGAGCAGACAGTTCGACCTGCCGATTTACGAACACGTTTGAATGTTGTATTCAAATACGAAGTTCAGATGGATTCGAATAAAATATTGTAGGATACGGCGATACGATGGCGACAGACGGCCATATAAAAGTTGACCGCCGGCCGGAAGAACACGCACAGGTGTATATGTGAACCACTATTTACGACATGCGCTCCGTTACATACATTTAAAAACATCAGGCATTGGGTTGTGATCCTAATTTGCACCGCTTCTTTCCAATGTGGCCAATGGCATTAATCTGTTATGGGCTTGCGCTGTTAGGGAAGCTCCACATGTGAAGACACATATGTAACATATCTATCCATATACTTCTTAGGTTTTTTTTTTCCTGCAAATCGAAATGGTACAATAAAACTGAGGGTATTCAACAATTATATCTGTCTTGGCACATGAATAGAATTCGAGTTCCCTGATAGTGGATTACTGCTACTTCTCCCTTACAGCGGGCTAGCAGAAATACGCTCTCAGTAGAATCTATTGAAAAAATAGTGAAGGGTAAATTCAGCTTAACAAATGAGTAAGAGGTCCAGCTTGAAAATCTATGAAATATAATTCAAAATTACACTATGTAACCAGAAAAAAAAGAGGGAACTTCATTTCTATGAAGCATGATGTGATCCAATAGGTAGGTAGG